CTCTAATTGCAACACTCTCTAAATGCATGCTTTGAAGCTGGTCCCCAGAGGTTGCATTTATGGAGAGTTGACTGTACATACAAACGTACGTACATACATTCGACTGCTGGCTTATTCACCTATAATACATACCTATTACCACTAATTCTTCTGCTACATTATACACGTTAGAGACGCTTCACGCAAAACAATACTAAATGAACATAATGTATGCAGAGTAAAAGCGATCCGATAGCCAAAAATGGACATTGGATCGTATATTTTCACCGTAAATAAAAATTATCACGTTCAACGGGCAATATTAATTGGATTCCATGAAAATAATTCGACTTAATTTCTCGTGAATGGGGAAATACTGTAACTCCCAATACTTAACAAAAGATTGTTATTGTGTTGATGGCTGAAAAAGTAACACAATTCCCCCCACCCCATTTGATTTTCTAGTTTAGGGTCACAAACAGAACATTATAGGCAAGCGAAAAATTAGAACACGAACTAGATAAATTTTATCAACGAATCGCCCTTGACTATTACTCTTATTAATTAGTATTAATAAAAACCCAATAAAAGCTAGAATCTATCCAATAGGTAATAAAAATAATATCAATTGTTGCAAGTGGTCTCTTGACATATATATATTATCATCTTTCTCTCCTCATTGCGGGTGACTGTAATTAAAGCCATTTTAGCCACCACACACACAGAATAATTATCATCATCATCATCATCAGTAGCAATATCAGCAGCGCAATCAGCGTGCCTGTAAATTTTTTAGCTGATTATCCTTTTTTTTTTTCAGCACACGGTTTCATTTGTACGTTTTTATACAATTTTCAAAATTAATGATTCACCTCAGAAAGGACTCGAAATTCGAATATAACTGTTATTCAATTTCCCAAGCAAATACCGTCAATAAACCACAAAATCGACGACTATTCATTCAAGTGAACAAAATCTGCTTCATTCAATGTCATTTGGGTGCACAAATAAAACGTAGGAGAGGATTCTTATTTATTCTAGCATTTCAATTCGAGAATTATAACCAACGTTTCCCTCGACATTTTTTATGTTTCTCTATACGGATACTTGTACATATTTAAATTTACGTATCCTATCGCTCTATAGTTATTAAATATTCTTATTACGTTATTTTTATGTTGTTATTTTAATATTTATTTATTACAGTATTTATTTATATGTACTTATATATAAGATAAACATTGGTGATTGAGCAGCGTATAAAAAGACTCATTGAAAGAACTTAAATTACACAATTCCATAAAAACCATTACCAGCAACTCGCAGCGTATTCACCCACCACATTTCTCCCCACCAAACGACGAGAATAACCAGCCATTTTCCAATCGACTAGTCTGTCTATTTCGTGTTCATTTTGAAACATCCGTTCGCCCGTCCTCGTCATTATTCGCCAGAGCTGAGAAAGTTATCAGCTGTTTGTTTGTTTCTTCTGCTGCTGCTGTTGCGATAAAACAAAAGATTTATTGGTTTCATTGAGTGACAACCGACCGCTCCGCATAATTACAAACTCTGCCTTTTTTTTATTGTTCACCCAGTAAGTGATTGATTTTCTTTTTCATTGTCTAAAATTACATAAAAAGGCGAAAACTTAATTTGATTGCATCCCATTTTCACAAAAACGTATCCAGTTGTAAAAACAATCAGAAATAATGGAAAATAAACACAAAAAACTTACTCAACGGTTCCTTCTAAGTGATGCACCGTCGTCAATTCAATTAACCACAACATCAAACTTTTCAAATAACAACCAGGAGAATAAAATGCTTGAATCCTCTACTATAATAACACCACCATTGACCCCACCGAACATAAGTATCGCCAACGAACAAACAACCACTTCGTCTGCCACCAGTCTTCCGATAAGAAGAAAGGTCAGTCGACGAAAGAACCCATATCCAATTCGCTCACCCGAAAAAAGTTCAGAAGGAATTACCTTCAATATAAGTATTTACGAAGAATACCAAAGAAACCCTGCTTCCTTTTACGAGTCAGCACAAAGAACCACAATAGAGGATAATATTCCTTCGATTTCTTCTCGTTGGCCAACTTCCGACTCGGATTCGGATGAAAATCACATCATTTATTCATCAATATCAAATAGCAATATAAGTTCACAGCGTGGAAAACGAGCCAAAACAAGTCAAACGCAAAGAACAAGAAGAAACAGAGCATTGGGAAGAGTGATTGGTGCCAATGGAACAAATGGAGATTCGACCACAATAAGAATCCCACCCCCACTTCCGCCACAAGAATGGCGTACATTACGAGAGAAACTCGAAAGTTTAGAGTTAGATAATAGCGTGTTGGAAGGAGACTTGCCAGCGATATCATGGAAAGGACCGCCAATGCAAATAACTAATTTACCACATTACGATTATTTGCAACCAACCGAAGCAACGCTAGCATCAACACTTCGTCTAACGCCTGCGCAATATTTGACTTCGAAAAGTTCAATAATTTCTGCTGCGCGTCGATATGCAAAGCGGGTGATGCCATTTAGGAAAAGTGACGCACAGCGCTTACTGCGCATTGATGTAAATAAGTCAAGTAAACTATGGGAATTTTTCCGAGATATTGGCTGGTTTGATTAATTATCACCACCATCTTCTCATTATAATTTTTGTTTATATAATTTCTGTAAAAAAACCTTTTATATTTAGTATTATCAAGTTTAGCTAGTTTTAAATCAGCATTAGTTAGTTAGTCAGTCATATTTTTTTTACTTTTAACAGACATGTGAAGCGTGAATGTAATGATTTAATTAATCATTAGTAGCATTTGCTTTATTATATCCTTTGAATGACGAATGCAAAAGGAATATCGAGTCTTTCGCCTGAATAAAAAAAAAACACCGCTGTTCATCGTTATGCGAACGATCAATTGAAAAAATCATCGCCTTTCTTTATCGTTATGCCCAAAACCGATTGTTTGCCAGAATTAGTCAGTGTGTGACAATCACCTGATAACTCTCTTTATTTTATATTTGATATTTTATATTATACATCGATATTATATATGCATAAATTCTTTTTGTGTCACATTATAATCTGCAATGTACTAGTGATTCAGTCGGGGGTGGTGACAGAATGGTTGATGTTGCTGATAATCCGCTTTTCGTGAATATCGTTTCACAAAAGAAATTGGAATCTATTATTTCTTTTATAGTCAAGGGGTCATGAACGAATTATATACATGCACGAATAGAAATGGGGAGTTAACGTTAAAACAAATTTTAAAGCAGGTTAATCGATGGATGACGATTACGACATGATGTTCCTGAAGTTGATACAAGAACAGGAATGCCATTATCAGGAGTTAAGGGATATTGTTATACCAACAAAATTACCCAACGAATACACCAAGGAATGGTTTCTATTGTAAAGAAAGAATATTGTGCCAGAGAAGAATATCTTAAGCCCCTGATTATAATAAGAGCGTATCGACTTCCCCTCTTGAAAAACGAGCAATTATTTTCTAATTCGAAATTTTACGACAATGAAAAATTCATGTACAAGGAACGATACCATACGCCTTTATTGCCAAATCCGTAAGCAATTTCGGAAGATGCTCGTTTTTTTCATAATCATTAACTTGCCATTATTTTTCTTGATTGTATGCATGTACGTATATTTTTTTCGCCTCTTGCTTTGTTCGTGACATGTGTGTGTCTGACAAAATTTCGTTTTACAGAACTTGTACATTTGCTCATTGAATGTAACGTGGATTCTTCTTGTGCAAGTACCAATGAGAATCGCTGAAGTCTAGGCGAACATACGTAATATGCAACGGAGGTTAAACGTCAGCGTTAAATTGAGAAAGGTTCTTGAAACTACCATTCAAATATCGATATGCACGAGGTTTATCATCAATGTTGGTGATGAAGACTCGATTTTAATATTCCGATGAAAATTCGTCAAACTTCACGTTTCATTCGTGCGCACGTAATTTTCCAAACTATATTCGAGTGAGCTATTTTATTTGTCATGTTTTCGTAATGGATTCGCACAATTAAACAATCAGTAACGATAATATAAAATAACCCGGATGTATGCTATGTCATCTTTGTCTCACGATCCGCAGAAAATCTAACACAAATACTATTGTCAGAATCATACTAACCCTATCACTATCTTGTAGTCATTTGATCGCTAAAATTAACGTTAACCATGTTTGGAAAATAATTGGTGAATATTACAACAGCATTTAAAGCTATTGTTACAAATATTTCCTGGAATATTGTTGTATATTCGATCTAACGATATGGTCGGGATAATAGTAAATATATACCGAAGGAAATTTTAACGAGTTTTTGGGCTGTCATCGTTATATCGCTTTTTTTTTCACTCTCCTAATTGAATTTGATCATTCAAGATTTCCACAGGTCTCCCTTTAAGCAAAGTCCAGGTATTATCACAACTGTAGGTACAGTTTCATGAACACTTTTGAAAAGAGCGATAATTAGTCATCGTGGTTTGATTGATCGATATGCGGAAATATTTTATTATGCTTTGACGAAAACTTTTCTTTCCGCTAAAATAATTGAATTCTGAACAGAGCGAATAACCTCTTGGAGGATGGGTTGAAAATCAGTTCCTTTATTTTGTTCGTAAAATAATATAAAATTAGAAAAACACTCGTGAAAAATCTCATAGACTTATTAACTGAACAAAATAAGCGAGAAATAATTAATCAAAAAGCAAATGAATTATGCGTAGAGTATCTCCATTATAAGGTATCCTTCCTCATAAAGTACCCCTATAAATCACCGAAACTATGAATAGTACCGTGTCTTTTATGCAGCGCTATACGGTAGTTAATAAATAATAAATTACTGAAATAATTGATTATTAGTACTCTCGATATAGTGAAGGATTTTTTTAGAAGCATTGATAAATTTTCACGTAGTATTCTCTCGATATAAGCTATAGTGAAGATTTTTTTCCTTGACTCGATGTCTTTACTATGTTGAGAGTGAGTTTTAAGTTTTAGTGATCATTAAAAATATAAGTTTGATAAATTTATTTTCAAACTACTTTAGATTTGTTATTTAAATGTTCAAAATGCTTAATATATCATTTTGTATGAATTTTTACCGTATAAAAATAATATCATCATTAAATATTTATATTGTTTTTATCAGACTTTAGTAAAATTTAAAAATACAATTTGATACAAAATGATGTGCACAAATAACTTTTAAATGATCAAATAGTTCAATAATCAGATTTTTGTTACTTGAATGAATAACTTATAAATTTTAAAACTTATATAATTAATTTGATATCTTAATTAATTAAATAAAAAAAATTAAAAAATTATTTAAAATTGCAAATAATTTGATTATTTGCACTAAGGTATACCTATCTACTTTTTTAGCATATTTAAAAATTTTATATATATAATATTTTTTGCTAAAATTTTAAATATTAAATTTATAACAAATAATATATTATCTATATAAATTATTTATTTATTATATATTAAAAAAAATATACAATAAAAAATTAAAATCTATTACTTGAACTTTAATATATTCTATTTCTATATATTTATAATTTTTTATTATATACTTAATTAAATTTATATTTTTTTCTTATTATATATTTTTTGAATTTGTTTCTTGTTTTTTTATTTAATTTATTATATGATTAATACTATTAATTTTATTTTAATTCTCTTATTTTAAACTAAATATATCTAAATTTTTATTCTAAATATATTTAATTAATAATTTAAACAAGATTTTTATAATAAAATTCTAAAATATCCAATATATAAAAATAGATATATACAAAAAATAAATCTTAAATTTTATTTATATTATTAATTATTATTAAAAAATATAAATATATCTAAAATTTTATTTTAAATATATTTACTTAATAATTTAAAATAGATTTTTTTAATAAAATTTGAGATATTAAATATATAAAAATAGAAAAATATATAGTACAGATTATTTAGTTATTATAATTGATTAATTTTTAGATATATTAACTTAATAATCTGAACTTTTCCAATTAAAAAAATATATAATATTATAAAATAGGTTAATAAATTATTAATTTATATATTTTCTAATTTTTTTGAATTATTTTAAGAGCTTTAATATAATTTAAAGTTAATTTTTTTGTTGATAACTAAGTAATCTGTATTTTATAAGAATAAATAAATATATTTTATTAATACAAATTAGTTTTTTTAAAATAAAATAATTTTTATATCAAAATATATTTCTGAATATATTTCAAAATATATTTTTAATTATAAAGATATTGAAAATTTATTAAATAATTAATTATAGATTTTTATTGAAAAATTTTTGATTTTTTATTTTTATTAAAAAAATATTCTGTGATATTTTACAAAGTATTTTGAATATTTTTTGAACTTCTATTTTCTTATATACTTATATTATTTAATAAGTTTTATTATTGTATTAAATATATTAAATATTATAATGAATTAAAATAAAATTTAATAAATTTTTTAAATAACAATTCTAAAAAAAATTAAATAATTTGAATTTTTTGTAATAATTATAGAAAGATAAATATAAATTCAAAGTATAAAATATAATATTAAATTTTATTATTAATTATTTATATTTTTATTAAAATAAAGATTATAATTTATATTTTAATATATATATTTTTAGATTTAAATTGATAAATTTGTTTTAATTACAAAATATTATAAAATTTTTATAATTAAAATATAAAATTAATTATAAATATTTTTTAATAATTTTATAATTAAAATAATTTATTAGTTAAATCTAAAAAATTCAAAAAAAATTAATTAATTGAATTTAAATTTTTATATTATATATAATATAATTTAAAAAATATATAAAAAATTTAGAAAATTAAAATTAAAATATGTTATTTCTTGAAATTTTGATTATATTATATATATATATATATATATATATATATATAATAACTAATATATATAATAATAATTAAAAATCATTTATTAATAAAATATAATAATATTATTAAAAATATAGATTTTTTACTTTATATAAAAGTTTTTAATTTTATATTAAAATAAAAATAATATTATATATTTTAATATTAAATTTTTTAATTATATAATAATTAATAATTAACTTAATATATAATTAGAATACTTTTAATTCAATATATTAATTATATTTTTAAATCTTTTTTACTTTGTACTCTTATACTTTTTATACTTTTTATATTTTTTATATTTTTTATACTTTTATATATTTATATTTTTTATA